TACATAGACAGACACACACTATTATGTATTTGGTGTCAAATCCTATTTGTTAAGATCAAAGGTCAATTAATAGTTTCCCTAATTGGTTGGAGCACTAGATTTTTGCAGGCCATTCACGTTCCGACTTGTGGTACGACTAGTGGTCCAACTTTTGCAGTTGGATCTGAAATCGGACCGTGAGTGGGCTGGTTGGATTAGTTGGACAACTAGTGGTACGACTCGGAACATCTAGTGGGACTACATCGAAGTCGGAGCGTGAATGGTGAAGTTGGAAGTCGGATCACAGGTTGGATCGAAAATTTCCTCAGTCAGTTGACCTTCGGCACCTGTTACGTATTAGATTTTCATAAAATACTTTACGCAAAGATCTCTAGTTCGCGAACATTTAATAGAAAATAAACTTTCAATTGCACGAAAATTACCTTTTTGTCAAGGCCAATCATTTTCCTTTCTGTAGATATATTTCGGACATTCCCATTCAGGTAAATTTCCGATACTCCCTATTTGCTACGGAAGAATTATCAACAAACAATGAAAATTAAATCATAGTTGTAGCAAAAGATCCCTAGTTCGCAAAAAAATAATAGAAAATAACTTTCAATTTCAATTGAAAATTTCAATCAAAATATACGACACACACACACAACAAAATAAATCTCAACTCCAGTTTAAATCAAGTAAAATATAGATTTTATACCTACACAAATCTTTAAAAACTATAATTTTTTCCTACATCTTAAAAAGTCATAAAAATCAAGGATTGAAAAAATTAATTAGTTCAGCCCTAGACAAATAACTCCTAGAGAAACGAAACCTAATTTTTAAACATACATATCATAACATACATATAAGGATAACAAGCACAATGCTGCCATTTTCCTCCTCCTAATTATATTTTCCGTAGTGTTTATTCGAAACATTTTTTGGTTAAGCGATGTACACCATCGTGAAAACAACCTAGAACTGAAGTTGGACCGCTAGTTGGATAGGAAGTCGGAGCGTGAGTGGAGACGAACATCCAACTAGTAGTCCTACTAAGTGGGACCACAAGTCGGAACGTGAATGGCCTGTCTAAGTTATTTTAAGGTCACTAAAATATACAACCCAAACAAAGTGGAACAGTTTGTTAGCGGTACTGTAGAATATCGTGAAGATTCATACTATGTTTATCACAGGAAAATGTTATCAACATTTCAATTTATCAAGTAACCAATATTAGAAGAATCTTTTATGAATATTTAAATCATAAACATATTTTACTTAAATTACAAGTTAAGTAAATTACTAAAGTCCAGCCAACTTCAGCTGTTCTGCGCTAGGATTTATGATTCCAAGATTCAAAATTTGTTATAAACACATCGATACATTTTTGGCAAAGTAACGTAAGTGACATTTTTGGCGAAAATCATGTTTTTCAATTAAACTCACACTATTATTGTTAAAAGGTACTGCCAAAGTGTAATAAGCCTAGAATTACTTTAAACCTTTTTTAGGACAAGTTTTTTCAGTCATAATTTAAATAAGTTTAACCAGATTGAATTAAAAAATTGTTTTTTCTACAAATCGTTTTTGGTGACTTACGTTACTTTGCCAAAAATGTATCGACATCATATATACTTTAATCCAGTCTGCTGTGCCCTATAACGTACACATGAATACTCATACTGCCATTTCAATCGTCACTCACTTCAACATTTCACCTGTTATATAGTTAACATAACAAAATTATTATTTTCTAATTTTTCAACCTTATTTTAAACGTGGTTCTATTCTCAGACAGGATACCAATGTTACAAATACTAACAACAACAATAAATGTGAATATATTACAAGCATATGCACTCACACACGACTATGAAGAAGAAGGAATTGAAAAATTCTATGTGTATTAGCATCTACAAAGAAACACGACCTCAATATTGTCATGGCAGATTTTAATGCTAAGATTGGTGAAGGACAACAGGAAGATATCATAGGAAAATATGGTCGGGGACTACCAATTAAAAGAGGAAATATGTTGGCATCTTTTTGTGTAGAAAAGCAACTAGTAATAACAAACACAATTTTCAAACTTGCAAAGGGTCGCCTTTACATCTGGAGATCACCACAGATACACCTTATAACCAAATAGACTTCATATTTATAAATAAAAGATACAGAAATTCAGTGTTAGCAGTCGAAACATATCCATTCTTTGAATTGAAATAAAAGTCATATGAACAGCAATAAAAAAAACTTTGTCAACAAATAAGCTTTACTTGCCTCTTACAAAGTATCATCTAAAATCACCAAATGTAAATCACCATTGGTGAAGACCTGATTCTCTCAGTTGCAATGGAGATTATAGAAGCTATTTTTGGAGATAATTTTGCCAAATAATTGCAATGAATACCTCTTTCAAATGATACTGTTGCACCCAGAATTGGTGATATAGCTGAAGATGTATAGCATCAGCTTCTTGAAAAGTTACGTGACAAATTGTTTTCGATCCAGCTTGACGAGCCAACACATATCAATAAAGTCGCTTATTTAATTTCGATCTTGTGATGAAGAACTCATTTTCTGAAAACTGTAGACTTCAGTAGACTTCACAAGCGAGTCTTCTACAGCTGGCGCCGCTTCTCGCATCTAATTTCCAGCGTTTTCTGTCGAAGCAATCTTCAGTTGTTAGATCTCTGGCGGTCATTGCATCGTCGACATCGTCTCTCCAGGATCGTCTTGGTCTACCTCGTTTTCTTCTAGTTGGCGGAGTCCATTCTTCTATTTTTTTTTGCCATCTGTTTTCCGGCATTCTCTGAAGGTGTCCATACCAGTTGAGTCTTTTGGCTTCGATTGTGTCTATTATGTCTAGATCGATTTCCATTTCTCTCCGAATATCTTCGTTTCTCACCCTATCAAGTATAGTGAGCTGGCAACATCGTCTCCAGTAGTTCATTTCCATGGCCTTAATTTTTTATTTGTTTCTTTGGTTTATTTCCCAGAGTTCGGCGCCGTACAGTCCAATACTTTCTATTATTGTTTTATAAATTCTTCTTTTATTTTCTTTTGTTATTTTTTTATTCCATAATAGTCCGTGTAGCTGTCTGGTGGCTGATCTTGCTTGGCCAATCCTGGAATGTATTTCTTTACTACTTCCTGCTTTTGATGTTATTTGGACTCCCAAGTACTTAAAATTGTCTGTTGGTTTTATAGTTCCCATTTCGATTTGTAGGCTTTCTGGTTTTTCTCCTACAACTAAGTACTCAGTTTTTTGTATATTAATTGTGAGGCCCCATTTGGTGTACTCATCTTCCAGTTTTCTGAGCATGTAGCTTATATCACTCTCGTCTTCAGCTAGAATGGCTTGGTCGTCAGCGAAGTGTATCGTGTACAATCTATCATCTCCGATTGGGATGCCCATATTGCAGCACTTTCTTCTCCACAGTGAGATTGCCTCATTTAGATATATTTTGAAGAGTGTAGGTGTTATGCAGCAGCCTTGCTTTAGGCCCTTACTAATAGGAATTTCTCTAGTTAATCTATTTCCAGTTTTAATGTTTGCCGTTATATTTTTGTAGAGCAGTTGTACTGCTTGTATATTTTTTTTGCTTATTCCTTGTTTTTTCATTGCTACCCAAAGCATTGAAAGTGATACACTATCGTATGCCTTTGTCAGATCTATAAAGACTATATGAGTTAAAAGGTTGTGGGCTAATCTTTTCTCGATAACTTGCTTTAGAGAGAATATACTGTCCATGCAGAATCTGCCTGCACGAAAGCCATTCTGTTCTTCTACATCTGTCATCTCTTTTTCAATTTTATTTTTTATTATTTTTCCATACAGTCTTGAGAGTGAATTTATGACACTTAGCCCCCTGTAGTTTGAACAATTCATTCTATCACATTTTTTGTAGATGTTGTTAATATGTGCTTTTGTCCACTCCGGTGGTAAGTCGTGTCCATTATAGAATAAGGTGAAGACATACGCCAGTAATTCCCATAATACTTGTGGGCTATGTTTTAATAATTCATTTGGTATACCTTGTGGTCCGCATGACTTCCGATTTTTTAGAGTTCGTATTGCATTCTCAAGGAGCAAATACATATGTTGGATACCAGTGAATGCTTTTTAGAGTAGAAAGTTGGAGCTGTAGAGCAGAAATGTGCAACAAAAAAAACTATACATGTGTACAAATGTGAATGATATGTGTTAAAATATACAAGAAAAAACAAAAATTTTTTTGTGACAATAGAAACTCTTTGTGATATTTTCTTGCTGGCGACAAATTGGTAGCAAGTTACGAGAGGGTTAGGGATCCATTTGTTCCATCCAGTTGTTATGTAGATGAGGAATGATTATATATGTATGTATTACTTAGTAGTCATAGTTTTTTTTTTTATTCTTGATCCCCCGTGCTTGTACAGACACGCGCCACCAGGTTGAGAAATGTTGGTTTAATATATTGAAAAATGTTTGATACAATCTTAAAATATAAGAAAAATATAACTATATATAGGTTTTTCCCTTGGACACAGCCAAGTCTTAGTACCGAATTTGAAAAAGAAATAAAATATTGGCAATATTTCTTAAAAAGGTTAAGAAAAAGTACTTATCGATAATTTCATACGATCTCATTAGAAGTGACTAATCTACAGGAAGAGGTCAATAGATCGGTTGATCATGGTTCTATACACAGGTCGAATAGCTGAAATAGATTTTTTACCTAAATTTACTACTTTACTCATACTCATACTCATACTCACACATCACACCACACACACACACACACACACCACACACACACACACACACACACACACACACACACACACACACACACACACACACACACAACACACACACACACACACAACACACACACACACACACACACACACACACACACACACACACACATACACACACACACATATATATATATATATATATATATATATATATATATACATATATATATATATATTATATATATATATATATATATATATATATATACATTCTATTTATTTAACAATTTTTGAATTTCACTAATACTTTTACCCTTAGTCTCTGGTAAGTAAAAATAAATTAAAGTTGTTCCCACAAAACAACATAAGCTAAATAACCAAATGCAACAATGTGTTCCAAAGTTATATGCTATAATTGGAAACAAAAAATTAAGAATAGAAACAAGGATCCCATTAAGAGTTACTAGAAAAGATAATGCGACTGGTCTAACTTTACTGTCAAATAATTCAGTCATAACTGCCATAGGAATTGGTCCTAAGCCTATTGAATATACAATTAGATTTAAAAGTAGGCACAAAATCGGCAACCATATTACGTTGGTTAAGTACTCCCATTTTACATAGTTCCAATACAAAAACAGTCCAAGAAGAAAAAGTGATACTCCAGTACCATATCCAGATAATAACAGTAAGGGTCTTCTTCCAGTCTTTTCTACAAAAAGGGCAGTGATAATGAACATTATAATTTTTATGGTTCCTGCTATCATTGATACTGTAGTTCCTGATAGGTTAGTTCCTAAAATTAAATTAAAATTAAAATATTTCTCCATGCGATAGTTACTACAAAATTACATTAAAAGAAGGATTGAAAAAAAGAAATTTAAAAACTGTGCATATAATTAAAGTCCCCACAACACGAATAAACTTTTTAAGAAGTAGGTATTTTGTAATAATATGTTAGTTTCTAAGCTTATAGACCTTGTTTTGGCATTATTTGTCCCAAATGTTTGATCTACAACTGCGCTAGGTTATGAGAGACGATGAGGCAACGGTAGGAATGTTTTATCTTCTGATAGGCGGCTGATCGCCGACTGACAGGACGCTGTATGAAACAAAATGAAATTCCAGGGTGTACAATTAATTTTCCTGCAAAATATCCTGACAATTGTTTTCACAACATTTTGAGAAATTATGTGTATTATTTTAATAAACTGTCATGTACTAGAGTTATAACGTTATCATGAGCATTTTAAGCGGATTATATGTTGGGACAATTATATTCTTAGATTTTTCTTAGTTGCGGCCTCGTTTTATCTTTCTGAATAAGTTTTTAAAGAATATAAGATGGTGGTTTTCTGCGATTCCTTATATTTTGTTAAAGAACTCTTTTGAGAAGCAATACGTGTTTGATTTGGAATATGTCCAATGGTTGTACTGCGATATTTAGTCAATTATAATCGACTGAATGATGAATAACTAAAAAATGAGTATTTAGACAACGTGAGATACAGCACATGTCACATATGAGAATTACTGATCAACTACGCGAGTAGAAAAAAACAACATGATCATAAGCTTGACTTTTCCCCACACCGTGATATAGACACTGTCTCATTTTAAAGATATTTTGGAATCAGTATCACCTCTTCCAAACATTTAATGATGATAAACCAAATCCAAAAAATTCCAAAAAACAACACTCAGTAATTATGGCTGGCACCCCTATGAAAACGGTTTTGGAAGACACAATGAAGAAAAAAGAAATTAGGGACTTAAAAGCCAAGCGTAGACTAGAAAAAGTTATACGAGATCCAAAGGTCAACCCTAATCTGAAGATAAAAATGTTGAGTGCAAAAAGTAAATAATTAAAAGTTGAAAATAAATTCCAAATAAAATTGGGCGCATTAAAACGCATAGCTACAAACAAACAAAGAAGGTGTCGAAGACAAATTAATTTTGAAGAATCGTCTTCCGAAGAAGATATAGATGGATCAAAACTTTGTGATGACAACGAATTTGATGACAGTTTTGAATTATCTTCCGAAAACACTGAAATGTGTTTGGTTTGTGCTTGTGGTGAGTTTGGTGTAAAAACTAAACTATGGTACCGAGGTGTGTTTGGTGAACAATTGGCTCACGCTGAGTGCACTGGGTATGATTGCCCTGAAAACTATCTGTGTGTCTTTTATTCTACGAACTAAGTTCTTTGTTGTAGAAACAACTTTTGATTTTTAATATATCTACTTATGTATTTGCTTATCTTATTTTCGTTCAAGTATTTAATGTTTTCGTATATAGCGATACCATCAGTTGTCTCATTATTTTCTTATTATTACTACTGGGGCATTACCCCAAAAGTCTGTCTGAACTAACCCGGTGATCGGGGAAATATCGACATTCTGCTAAACTTAGAGAAATATTGTTTTTAAATACGTAAATGACATTGTTTTACCAATATTACATACTCAATGGATGCGGAAAATTCCAATTATAGTAAAGGTATTATCATTAAAAACCTAACTAAGAGAGAATAAATCTGAAAATTCAAATTATCTTAAGGTGTCGTGATTTCTCCGTTCTACCCTATAAAGCAACATAGTTGAATGCTTGGTGAAACTACTGCCAACCAAATTGAGCATGTTTTGATACAAAAAAGGGCCACAACAATTATACAAGATGTGAAGAGCCGATGAGGAGTATGTTACAGATCTAAATATCTCCTATACTTTATTTCACATTAAGAATGGAACGTTCTTAAATTCTCTTAAAAAGGATGTTATATTATCGGAAATTTTTGCACTATTACCTAATTTTAACTTTTTGCCGGACTATCACTTACATACTTTTCGGATTTGGCATTTTGTGTACTCCAATTTTCATACTATTACATAATTTACTAACTGCAAATTAACATCCATTAACTACCCGCATGCACTATAACAAATCGGGGTCCTCTTTGACAACCCTCGGCTGTTGACAACCCCTTAACAAACGTATCCCTGGCTGAAGTCACTGAAAGGAAACACTATGTCCGACATTCATCAAGTTTCATCCAAATAAATGACGGTGTATCTTTGGAAACGAATTGTTTTTATCTCACGTAAATTCTGATGCCTCCATTTCAAAATATCAGGTCGTTCCAGCATGGTCGACTTTACTCCTCGTTTGCAAAAACAAAATTCATTTCGTGGAGTGTTCTCCACATGGTTGTGCGTGACATGTTTGCTAAATTTTTGTCTTTTTTAACCAGTGCAAAAACTTTGTTTAATGTCGGCGGTAAATTTAAAAAAAAAAACTATGCACAATGTAAGTGAACTTTCTGCTGTTTACTCTACATCTGGTACGTTTTCTTGTTTTTTTTCTCGGGCCTTAATCCTCTCTCCATAGCTTCTTTTCGTATTTTAGAAATAGTATTAGAACCTACCCCCGTCATAGCACTTAATTTATTGATTAAACTTTTAACACTTTCACCACTCTCCAAATTTAGATGGTAATAAAATACATTTAATATAAAATAGATCTTCTTCTTACGGTGCCTATCCGTTCCGGATGTTGGCGATCAACATAACTATCCTAACTTTGCTTGCTGCTATTCTGAATAGTCCGGTGGTAGATGTATTAAACCACTTTCTCAGGTTTTGAAGCCAAGATATTCTTCTTCTCCCTGGTCCTCTCTTTCCAAATACCTTGCCCTGAAGAATGAGTTGCAACAAGCCGTATCTCTGTTCATTCCTCATAACATGCCCAAGATATTCTAGTTTGCGCTCTTTGATGGTGTTAAAATAGGTAAAGAAATAATAAATAAGACTTACTCACAATCAATTTAATTTAACTATCAGACGACCGGTTTCGCTTTCTACAGTATGCAGTGCATCTTCAGGTCTCGATACAAAGTTAAATAAATGCTGAAATAATAATAAACCCCTATTAGGGTGTTAAATAGGTGTCTAATAAAGATAAACAAAGTAGGTGTTATAAATTACAGTAGTTATGCCAATATTACATGTCTGTGGTTTTTCAAAATGAATAAAAAGGAATAAAAAATATTCTATTAATTGATGGATGGTAGAACATGGTTGAAACTATCATGTATTGTTGAATGGAGAACTTAAGTCTGCTATTGTAGTTGTTTGACAATAAACGAGAAGTTCTTGAGGAGATAGATTTGATCCAATGAAGTAGAGATATCTGTAATGTGATTGTTTGTTAGATGAAAGCGATGTTCTATACCATTGTATGATTTAAAATTATTATTATTATATTTTTTAAATAATACAATGGTATCGATCATCACTTTCATCTAACAAACAATCACACTACACCTATCTCTACTTCATTGGATCAAATCTATCTCCTCAATAACTTCCCGTTTATTGTCAAACAACTACAATAGCAGACTTAAGTTCTCCATTCAACAATACATGATATCCATCAATTAATAGAGTACCGGCATGTAAGTAATGTTTTATTTATTTGCTCATTTATTAATTTATTACAATCTAATAGACTATTTTATAACAATTTGTGGGTCTTACCTTGTCTGTTAAAATTTTTTATACCTTGTTATTCATTTTGAAAAACCACAGACGTGTAATATTGGCATAATTTCTCTAATTTATAACACCTACTTTGTTTATCTTTATTAGACAACACCCTAATATGGGTTTATTATTATTTCAGCATTTATTTAACTTTGTATCGAGACCTGAAGATGCTTTTGCATACTGGTGATGTATTGCAGGATACCGGGTCCGTATACGGTTAGTGTTTTGTTTGGGCTTGGTGTGGGTTGGACGGTGGGTGGTAAGGGAGGGTCAGTGGGGTATTGGGTCGTATCATTGATTCTGTGGAATTTATTGGGGAATTTAGTTGGTGGGAGCGGGAGCTAGGTTGGGAATTGTGGGGGAAAGTGGATATGGTTCTATGGATTTAGTGCGGAGACGTTGAGATTTTGGTTAGTTTCTAACAGTTTAATGAACTATTATGCTTGTTTTTAAATTGTGTGAGGAGGAACGTGGCTAACGATAAGATTATGTGGGCGAGGTAGATTTACATTATGAGGCCCGAAACTGACTGTTGCCGATTCTACCCTCACCAGATTTGCTCTACTAATATTTTTACGAGTAATTTTATTTGAGGCTTTCAGTGTACTGTATTGCAAGCGCCCGTAGAGATGTGAGGTGTTTTGCAAATGTTCTAAACATCTTTTTTTATTAAGCAGTCAGAATAATAATTATTATGCTGTAAGTAATCAAAAGAAAGTATAGATAGAGCAAAGTGGTTTAGATTATTGCTGAGAGATAAAAACCCCAGCGGATCCTAGATATATATCAAATAATAATGAAAAAATCAGTTTTGGGGATAACCCTATGGATTATTCTTTTTAGGCGACACAATTAATGTAAGTATTAGACGAACATGTTTTTTTGAAATTATTTGAGCCTTCAGATCGTAAACATTGTAGATTTGTAACTAGAACCCTTATCCAGCATACTTTTCCTCAACAGCCCACCTACCACACCACACGTGATCCACACCCCACATCCCCAGACCCCACTTGCACCTAGCCCAGCTGCAAACCTCAAAGAAAAACCAAAGCAAGACCACAAGCAGCAGAAACACAACCAAGCCACCAAAGAAACTAGCCCCATCGTCACACTCCAACTCAGCACTGTTGTGGACACAGAACCAGAAACTATTGACCTGCCCCAACGCCTGATTGAGAGCTAATTGGAAAGTTGTGGCTATATCACACAACAAAAAATAAAACCACAAGAACAGAGCTTTCACAGTAGC